CCTCATCGGAGGGATATTTTCCCATTGATCTTTAGCGAGAGTGGAAGGGAGAGGGAGAGACAGAGAGAGACACTGTGGGAGGAGAGACTCATTTATTGGTTGTCTCCCTCATGACCCCGACCAGGGCCGGACCAGGAAGGACCCTGCAACCAAGGCATGTCCCCTTGACTGGAATCGAACCTGGGACCCTTCAGTTCGCAGGCCGATGCTCTATCCACTGAGCCAAACCGGCTCGGGCTACACAGTATTTTAGACATTGAGCATCTGCTCAGCGTGCCCGTCATCCAGTGAATCTATGACCTGGTTGGCTTCAGAACTACAGCGTAAAGGATGTGATAGCAAAATTGTCTTATCTCTGCATCCTTACCACGCTGGCCTGGGAACATGTATGAAGATCCCACATTTTTGAGGCTTTCTGAAAAACTGGCAAATTAATCAACAAAGAATAGGATAAAATTTAAATGTGCTGCCTAAGGACCACTGTATTAGTGGGGCAAATGTTGGGCACACTGCTGATAAGTTAAAGGATGTTGAAAGCACCAATGAGGTGGTTGTTCTTTATTTTTATTATTATTTTTAAAATATATATATATTGATTTTTTACAGAGAGGAAGGGAGAAGGAGAGGGATAGAAAGTTAGAAACATCGATGAGAGAGAAACATTGATTCAGCTGCCTCCTGCACACCCCCCACTGGGGATGTGCCCGCAACCAAGGTACATGCCCTAGACCGGAATCGAACCTGGGACCCTTCATTCCACAGGCCGACACTCTATCCACTGAGCCAAACCGGTCAGGGCTTTATTATTTTTTTTAAATAAGAGAACATTTATTTGGAAAATCACAGAGGTAGAAGAAGTAATTCATAGAAGTCATAGAAGTCAGACACAAGTCATAGAGGTAAAGGAAGGGCCCTTGGAGCTTAGAAGTGAGGAAGGTAAAGGCGATGCACCTGGGGGTAGAGGAAGGGAAAGGCGCTGGCGTGACCCCCAGAGGGAGAGTGGAAGATCTTCTGAAAGGAAAATGGGATCCTGAGTGCAAGCAAGCATCCATCCTTTACTTTTCCTTCATGGGAAGGGCAAAGGGAGATAGTTTCTAGAAGTAGCCAATACCCATGGGAAAAGGTGCAGTTTCAGTTGTAATTAAGCAAGTGTGAAGACGGAAATCCCACTTTCCCCATGAAACCAACAAAGAGGTTTAAAAGTACAGCAGTAGTCAGAGCTACCCAGGGTGAGAGGAGGTGCTTTGCTCGTGAGGCTCACTTGGTAGGTAGGGCAAATCCTATATAATAAAAGGCCAATATGCAAATTGTCCCCTGGGAAGTTCAACCAACCAGGAATTTGACTGCCTGCTGTGACTTTCGATGACCACCAGGGGGCAGAACAAAGGAAGGTCCTGGCTGGCAGCTGGGGAAAGGAAGGGACCCAGCCAGGCCTAGGGACCCTACCTGTGCACGAATTTCATGCACCGGGCCTCCAGTGAATAACTAAACCTCTGGAAAGGGAGTGTTCAGTAGTTACACTTGTAGGAATCAACCTTAGAACAATGCATGATGCAAAGATATATGTCTGAAGACATTTATTTGTAAAAATTGTGATTTAAGTATCCATCAATACAAAATAGTTGAATTATGAGATATCCACACACCAGGATATTGTGCAACCAAAAATCACTGAAGAAAAGTGATTGACAAACCTTTTTGAGACAGTTCCCTGGCTCTGTAAAATGGGGATCCTATTCACTGAACAGAATTGTAATTAAAGGGGATCACTGGTCTAGAAAGTTCCTGGGCGCGAGCAGGGTTCCCTAGGGCACTTTTTCCTACATCTGGGGAATATTGCCACCAAAGATCAGTTCCCAGGCTGACTGATCAGATGAGCGAGGGAAGCAAGACACCAGGCCTTTCTAGTAACCCGCTCCCACCACACCCAGCTGGTGTGGGCAGGGAAGCCTTTATGCACCGCACCTGGGAGGTCGGCTCGCTGAGCTCACTGCCCCTTCCAGGCAACTAAGTGCACTTGGAGTCAAACCTGCAGGGAGCCCTGGTCGGCAGCTCAGTTGGTTAGAGCGTAGTCCCCATATGCCAGGGCATGGGTTGGATCTGTTTAGGGCATGCGCAAGAAGCAACCAATTAAGTGGAACAACAATCCACGTTTCTCACACTCTCAATAAATAAAAATAAAAGACCGCCCTGGCCAGTGGCTCAGTTAGTTAGAGCTTGTATGGTACACCAAAAGGTTGTGGGTGGGTTCCATTCCCAGTCAGGGCACAGGCCTAGATTGCAGGTTTGATCCCCGGTCCGGTGCCCTATTGAGCTGTCTCTCTCCCTTCCTCTCTCTAAAAATCAATTTATTTTTAATTAAATCTTTATTGTTGAAAGCATTACATTTGTCCCCTTTAAAAGTCAATTAAAAAAAACATATCCTGTGGTGAGGATTAAACAAAAAAATTTAAAAACAAAACCGCCCTAGGGGAGCGGCAGGGCGGGCTCCTCTTGCAGAGCGCCCCCAGTGGCCGGGCGAGGAAAGCGGTCCGCCCTCGGGCGTGGCCCAGCCCGCAGGAGGCGATCCCAGCCCCGAGTCCAGGCAGCCGAAACTGAACTCTCGCGACAGGGGGCGGGGAGTGGGCGGGGTTTCGCGAGGAGCGACCGGACGGAGCACCAATCGCAGGCCTGCTCCGCCACGGTGCTTGGTTTGAAATCCCGCGGGTGCCTAACGGCTCGCGAAGTGGCAGAGCCTGTGCGAGCCAGTGCTAGGGGCTGGTTGCCGCGCTCGGTTCCGGGTGGAGTAGGTCGTGGGCCTCGCCGTCCGGTGACCGGGAGACTTCCATCATGAGGAGAAGGTGCGGGCTGTGGGGAGCTGGGGACGCGGGAGGGGGGACGCCCGTCCCGGGTGCGAGGTCAGGGTGGGCTTCCCGGAGGGCCCTCTGGGCCCTGAGCGAGGGTGTCACCATTTGCCCGAGGCTCGGTGTGAGGCCCAGGAACCTCCCACCCTCTCGGCGGCTAATGG